GAGGTAGTAAATGGCGGCGAAGTGGTTGTAGCTGCTGTTCTGCAGAGACTGGGGAGCAAGGACAGAGGGGTCAGCGTGAGGCTCTGGCTGTACTGGCCAGTAGCTTCCCTGTGAGATCATTCCCAAGCCTATCCCTAGAGAAGGGGACAAGCTGATCCTGCCGCCATTCCAGGGTGGGAGGCGCGGGCAGGGCAATGTGCTCACCTCCACTGTCCTCTGCCGGTCAATGCCAAGGGCCTGCATGATGCCCAGCACCTGCTCATTGTAGTCACCCAGGTTGGAGGTGTAGCCCTGCATGGAGTAGGTGGGGTCATCCTGCTGTAGGAGGGTGGGGTCAGCCTGCATCCACCGGTGCTGGCGGATCTGGGCAATGGTGATGCGCTTGGCAGGATCAACGACCAGCATGCGTCGGATGAGCGTCTCACAGTCTGTGGAGGTGAAGGACTCATATTGAGGACAGGAGGCTGAGCCCGGGGGCTCATTCCCATTTCCACAGATGAGTTCATCACGACTGCAGAAATCCACCAGTCATTGTAGCCCCCTCCCCACCCCCACTCCCCGCTACAGAAGAGTTCTACTAAACTGGGGGCCAGACCCAGGGAAGACATTTTTAAATGTACCCTGTAGAAAACCATTTAGACTCTCCCTCCTATTGTGGCACACATGAGGTTAGAAATCTTTGTAAAACAGAAAGTCCTGCGTATGTGAGAGAGGCTGGCATCCTGAGGCCTGACAGTGGGGGGCCTGCAGAGATGAGGCAGGGTGCATGGGGAGCTTCCTGCACAGGCTGTAAGTAGGGCACTGGGAAAGCACCTGTGGGTTGAGTTTCTCTTGCAGCTTGATCACCTGGACCTGAGTCCTAACTTGACAGCAGACTTGCTAGACCACTGAGCGTATACTGCCAAGACCCACCCACCACCTCTTCCCTAAAGCCACCACCCAGCTTACCCAAGACTCCCTGGAAGACCAACTCTATGCCCACCCACCTTGAGACATGAAGAAGGGGATGCGGAACCGGCCCTCCAGCACCCGCTGTCTCAGCGTCGGCAGGTTGGGTCCATCAAAAGGGAGGGAGCCACAGACGAGGACATACAGCACCACACCGAGGCTCTGTGAACAACCAGACAGCCGTGTTGGTGCCCTGCTTGCCAGCTCCAGGGATGTGGTAGCAGGCAGCAGAGTCCAAAAAGGCTCCTACCCAGATGTCCAGCTGGGGGCCTTCATACTCCTTTCCCTCAAAGACTTCGGGTGCTGCATAGGGGGGGCTCCCACACCACGTGGACAGGGGCTCTCCCGGCTTGTAGAAATTCCCAAATCCAAAATCTGTGAGGCAGAAGAACAGGCACTACATCAGTCTGGGACCGGCAAGTGTGATGGCTGCAGGGTGCCCTGGAAGCAGAGACCCCACAGGGCCTCCCTCGCCACGCAGTCTTGCCTGCCAGCTTGATGTCCATGTTGCCGTCCAGCAGCAGGTTCTCCGTCTTGAGGTCCCGGTGGACTATGTGATGGTTATGGCAATACTCCACTGCTGACAGAATCTGCCAGAACTTCTTCCTAGCCTCGTTCTCGCTCAGGTGCCCATTCGAAGTCAGATAATCTGAGGAACAACAAAACCAAGTTACACCCCAAGATGCCAAGTCTGCCGCTACCTGGGGCAGGGCAAGGAAGCACTGAGCAGCACTGAGAAGCCGCGGAGATACAAGCATACGAGGGAAGGGAGCCTTCACCTAATGCTAAAATGAATGCAGCTCACCGAACATCTCTCCATTCTTTGCAAACTCTGTGACGATGTAAAGCATGTCCTTCGTCTCCATAACCTGAAACAACAACAACAAAAGGAAAACTTAAGCAGGGCAAAAGGGTCGCATGGAAGCCATGATGGATGCACCCGAACCCCAAGCAACCTTTGACTTCTCCAAGAAACCGCCTCCATCATTGAAGGAAAGAGGGAGGAATGATAAGCCCCTCTGCCCTGCCATCTCCTGGTACCTCTGTACAGGGCAAACATTTGCCTTGCTTGCCTCCTGGGAGCTGGGGAGGCCACTGGTGGCAGAAGCCCACGGGCACCCTTTCAGAAGCCCTATGGACAGCTGCTCATTCAAGCAAAAAAAAAAAAAAAAAAAAAAAGCAAACTGAGTGACCAATACAAATATCCCGCCCCCACTTGCTTTATTGACACGACATTAAGCTTAAGAACATGGCCTTGCCAGATAAGCTACAGGGGATCGCTCTTTGTACAGCACACTGCTCGGCATGTGTCAACAGTAACGGTCAATGTCAACATACACCTTCAGAGTTCATTCACTGACTTTATGCTACTGAAAAGAATTAAAATCATAACTAAGCAACAAGGTAAGACTCAAATTTTTGGCTCTGAAACGAATAAAAAACACCCATGCAAGTGGTATGGTTTCAATATTTCAGAGGAGCCAAGTATGGTGGATTACACCTGGAATCCCAGCACTCTGGAGGCAGAGCCAGGACTGCCCATAGCTCAAGGCCAGCCTGGGCTACACAGCAAGTTCCAGGCCAGTCCGTCTACAGAGAGAAACTGTCTCAATACAAATAAATAATTAATAAAAAAAAACATTTCAGGGAGGGGAAGAGAATGTACTTTGATAGGAAGAAGGATTTCTTTGGGTTTAAGACATACTGTTATTCCTTTTAAAGAAGCTTTTTGTCATAGATTTACCAAGAAAAGTATTATTAAAAACCACAGCAATTCAGCTAAAAAATTAACTGTCATCTCCCTCCACACAGCCCTGCCTGTCCCTTTTCTTAACGGAAGAAAAGGGGATGGAAAACAAACATCTTTTAAACTTTTAAAGCCCTAAATAAACCAAGTGCAGTGGCAGACATCAGTAATCCTGGCACTCAGAAGACTAAGGCAATCAAGAAAGAGAGCACTGGGTCAGCGAGGACTACATGATAAGACCCTATCTCAACAAATGAAACCAATCAAACTCTCCCCACCCCCACCAAAAGGAGAGAAGGAGAGGCCTGGGCCAGCTGAAGGAACACTAGACATCAGTATCAAGACCAGAGGACCTACTGGCTTCCCCAGCCCACCCAATCCTGAAAGCTGAGTCACTGAAGACAGGATCGAAAATATCCACTCTGGCATCCATCGCCTGGACAACATTTCCTCAGTGCTACGGCTTTGACCTGGTCGGCAAGTCGAAGGCAGGGAGGAGAGGAGGGTGCTGGGAGCAGCACAGGTTACCCTCTCCAGGCAGGAGGACGAGAGCGGTCTGCTCTGAAGGTCGGGGAGGCCCTCGTCCCAGCCCCCTCTCCCAACACTGGCTGCAGAGGAAACTTTACCTTCAAGCACAACTTAAAGACGGAGATTGAAATAAAGCGTGACCCCTGAGCGCACAGCCCTGGGCTCTGTGCGTAGAGACACCGAGGGAACTGTCACCACAGGCCAAACACAAGCTCCAATGACTTGTCTACCGCTGTGCTGAGAAGGACGGCCAGGGGTAATTGAAATTACAGCTCTGTCCTCTACTGCACGGCACACACAGCTTTTCCGACTACACACTCATGTCCCCTGTAGTCACCTCAGGCTCACGAGGATTCTGGGAGTCACTGACTGGACTTGCACAGCAGCACAAGCACATGCAACACTCACAAGGCCTGGCTCCTCTACACCTAGACCCTTTGCTCACGGCAGCAGAAGTGGCCGTTTGTTCACCAGGGAAGATGTGAGGGAAGATTATCAGGAAATAACCAAGAGACAAATAGGTGAGGCACAGTCCCAGCCGGCATTATCTGGCAAGCTCCCAGAGCTGAAGTGTCTCCCCGCCTTCTCTCCACACTGTGGGTAACAACGGGAGGCAAGGGCTTGCTGCCTGCCGTCACAAAGACACAGCACGGAAAAGCGGAGGGAACAGCTGCTTTTTTAACATTTAGTAATCATCTGCAAAGGCAGAACTTTCGAGTTTCACTCAAGTTTGTCCTTCTGCCCTAAGCCTGACGGTACATGAGGCTATTCTCACAGTGACAGGGCTTCATCAACAGACCTCCACACGTCCAAAGCTGGAACGAGTCACAATACTAGATAAAACTCCAACAGGGCAAATCAAGAGACTAAGCGTCAATAAAGCCGAACAGCCTAACTGAAGGTCAAGCTATTTACTTTGTACTCCCTGGTTCCCATACGGCTGGCAGCAGAAACCCTGGGCCACCTTCGGGGACCACAGGCTCAGGGTGTGGCACGGGAGAAGTAGTGGACATGACCACGGAGCAGCGAGGCTCAGACGGCTCACCTGGTAGAGCTTGATGATATGCGGGTGGTTGAGGAGCTTCATGAGCTGGACCTCCCGGTAGATCTTCTCCAGATTGCTAGAATCTAACCGTGTCTTGTCAATTATTTTTATTGCAACCTACAGAGTTTTAAAAAGAAAAGGGGGTATTTCTGTTTAGAAAGAAACCTTCAACTAACCTCATTTGCACTTTTTTTTGCAACATGAGTTTATCAAACATTTGATGTCTTCAAAAGGTCACAAGAAGTTGGGAGAAAAGTAGTCACTAGCATTATTCAAAAAGCCCTTGTATTTGCCATCTAGCTTTTACTGGAGCCACTCATTACTGGTTGATTTTCTTTATTCTTTTTTTTTTTTGCGGGGGTGGGGTGGGGGTTGTTGGTCATTATCTTTGCTGCTCCCTAGTAATTGTACAAATTATGCAGAAGCATAATACAAAGCTTTTTTTTTCCTTCACCAGACTAAACACTGTCATCGTTTACAATTGTGACAATCAACTCTGCAGGATTGAATCAGCACAGGGGTCCACCCCCTGGCTGGATCCACCCCCTGGTTTAGTCTCCCCCAACACGCGCACGCACCTGCGTTTTGGTGACTCGGTGCCGCGCCAGCTTAACCACCGCAAAATTGCCTTTGCCCAGGGTCCGTTCCACGTCGTAAAAGCCCACCCGGAGGGGCTTCTGTTGGCCCTGGCCAGTGCCCGAGGGGACCGCGCTGAACTCCGACATGATCACCATGGCTTCGGGCCGCACCTGCGGGTCAGTGAGAAGTGCGTTCAGCTCCGACTGACGCCGGTCAGACCCCGAAGCGCCCCCACCCCCAGCGCGCGCCTCCACGACGCGGCCACCGAAACTGTGTACGCCAGGCCACCACGCGTGCGTCCTCGACCCCGTGTTCCTCCAGTCCGCAGCCCCCGAGCCCGCGGCCCCACTAGTGAGTTCCCCGATCCTGGATCCTAGCTCGCACCCCACTCGCTCATTCCTTGACCCCCGTGTTCCCCAGCTAAAGTCCCCACGAACGGACCCCTCTACACCAAATCCCCCGAGTCCGAGCTCTGGGATCCCGGGTTCCCAGTCGCGCGCCCTCGATACCAGGTTCCCTCCACACGAACCCCCCACGCACGCGCCCCAAGACCCCCGGTCCTGGACGGGCGCGCGCGCCAGCAGTCCACCCGCGGTCGACCACGTAAGCCCCAGGATCCCCCGGGTCCCGGACTTGTATCGCGCGCCCGTCCACCCGCGCCCGCGCACGGCTCCCCAGGACAGGCTTCTAAACCTGGTGCTCGCGGACCCGCCTCCCGGCGCCGACCCGCAACAATGGGGAGCCCGCGGGGCTGGAGTCCAGCCCGCGACCCTAAGCGCGCACCTGCGAGCCAGGGGGTGCCCGAACCCGCGCTACCACTCACCTCTGCCGCCCTCTGTGCGCCCGACCCGGGACGCCGCCCGTTCGACTGCTCGCTCTGCTCCGGCGCCTGCCTTTCGCGCCGCCGCCGCCAACGCTGCTGCTGCCGCCGCCCGGGCCGCGCCGCATGTCAGCGCCCCGCCGCCGCCGGCCGCACGCGGCAACGCCCCGCCCCGCCCCGCCCCGCGTAGGCCCCGCCCCACCCCGCCCCCCGCGGCCGGCACAGCCCATTGACGTCGCTTTGACGCCAGAGCGACGCGCGGCCCAGTGCCGGTAGAGGGGGAGCGGAGATCGGGCGGTTGCCAAGAGACTGGAGGCTCTGACGCGCGCGCCGGTGAGGCCGTCGCCATGGCGACCGCGGGCGGTGACGTCAGGGTCCGGGCTCCGCAGCCTCCTGAGACTACCGGCGCCCCCTGCCGGGTGCGGGACACACTGCTGTGACCCCACCGGCCAGGAGGCCGAGCCTGCTTGGGGACCAGCTCGCGGGCGGGGAGTGGGGAGGGGGGCCCTCGTGATGGGTACGATGCCTTGGGGCCCCCTTCGGACGCAGCAGGGTGGAATAGACCGCGGGATTTTCGGCATGGGGCTCTGGAGCTGGTGGCCCTGGACTGATCACTCCCCTGTGCGCGGGCACGCGATGGTGCAGCCAGCAGCGACTGCCCCTTGACCCTCATCTCATTCTAGAGAGGGCCGGCCAGCTGCAGAAATGCTTTAGAAAACGTTAGGAAATTTAGAAATCCCAGTTACTTTTGTAACAGAAATAAAAAAAAAATCTCAAAAGTATTCAGCAAAAGTTGGAAAGTTAAAGCAAGAAAATGTGTCTCATGGTCCTGAAGCCTCCCGCTTCAAGGGCCCCCTCGAAGGCTAGCCCACCGCCTTGGTCCTGCAGTGTCCTGGGGACAGCAGAATAGGAGGGATACTTAAGACACAGGCAACGGAAGGACCCAGCCCCTGCCACCCGCCACCCCACTCAGGGCTGATAGGTGGGGCCTTTGGAGGTCTGGGCACTTTGCCCACTCCCTTAGCGGCTAATGCTGCTTGCCAGTTGGCCCACCCTGTTTGTCCCTAAGCTGCTTCCAGAAAGCAGATAGGACACAGGGCTGCTGGGACCTTGGGACTGACCCTGAGAGTGCCTGCCGGAAGCAGGGCCCATTAAAGAGGAGATGGAGTGTGGAAAGAGGGGAAATGGCAAGTGTGTGACTCCCTTTGTTTGTGTTCCTGCTGCGCTGTGTCCCTTCACACATCATCAGAAAGGTAGATGTGTTCTAAAACAGGGGACAGACGATTCTCCAAGGCTAGGAGGACGGCAGCTTAAGGCTAAAACTTCTGCGTCTCCCCTTCCAGATGGCTGTGTGTGTGTGTGTGTGTGTGTGTGTGTGTGTGTGTGTGTGTGTGAGAGAGAGAGAGAGAGAGAGAGAGAGAGAGAGAGAGAGAGAGAGAGAGAACTTCACAGATCAGCTCCTGAGCAGGAATTAATCAAAATTGTTTCAGAACTAGGATCTCAAGGGAGGCAGAGTTCATCGGCAGATGAGGGGGGTGTAGGCTGGCCCGAGAAAGGCAAAAGGGGGCGGGGCCATGTGCCACTGTTGCCACACCTCTCAACCGCACCAGGATTTCACCACTCCCTGCCTTGCCTGTCTGGGGCCAGTATATTTTGAAGGGCATTCAAGAACACTAGCCACCTCAGAGTTGCTTTCGTCTTCCAGAGTGCTTCCTTGGTTTGTCCCAGGTTCTCAAGTCAAGAATTTGGGGGAGTGGTTTTAGCCCCTCCCATTTGAGCTGCTTACCACTGCTTCCCGAGGGGTCCCAAATTCTTGCCCCTTCCTAGGAGAGCTACACGGAGGGTAAGAAACCGTGTAAGAAAACACCTTGTTCTTGCCTCAGGGGCCCTAATCCCTGCGCAGTTTGTCCACCCACTAGCCTCCGTCTAGCCAGAATCTTTCGAAAGGTCTGAGGTGTTTGCAAACACGTCGTCAGTGTTAGGTCCCAAAGCAACTCAGGACAAATGGCTAACTGAGGTGTCTATTAGCATATCAAAGCTGACGCGGGTCACTAAGCGTCAGCTTCACGGGTGTCTATTACAGTCCCGACTCCTCCCAGCCCTTCTCACCTGCTCCCTACCCTGAACCTCTCCAGCCCCTGAACTCCACTCTCTTGGTTCTTCCCTTGGCCCTCATTCTCTTGGTCCCTCCCACCCCCATCCCTCTTTCAGTTCTCTTAGTCTTCTTTTGTCTCCATCTCTCTTTTCTTTCTCTCTTGCTCTCCCCTCTCTATTTCCTCCCATTGCCTGCTCTATTCTGCTGGCCATCTTCATTCAGTCTGGACCCTTCCAGATGCCTCTGGCTGTTCTCTCCTGCATTGCTACAACACAAACCTTCTCTTCCACCACACCTAGGAGCGGTCAGGCCCTCATCTTCAATCAGCACCAAAGAAAAACTTGGGGTCCAGTCCAAGGGGCGGCTGCTGCCCCAGAGGCAAACCTGGATCCAGGCGTACTCCCCGACCCCCGTAACTCTGTCAGTGATCCCTGGGCAGAACTGCTTCCACTGCCATTTTCTGTCAGGTTCTGTGGTATGCTTTGGCACTTGAGGAGGAAGAGAACACCTGGCATGTGCTTCTCCAGATATGAGCAAATGACTCAGGGATTCCTCACCTAGAGCTGGGGAGGGAGCCCAGGGCTGTGCCTTGCTCTGCCAGTGAGGCACCTTCTTGAAATAGCACTGACTGGCAAATGGGAACTACTCTTTTTTTTTTTTTTTTCCATTTGGAAGTCTCACATCTGTCCTGGAGCTGTGATGGTCCCAGAGATTGGTTTTGTTGTTCGGACTATGAGACTGGAAGCCCTGTCTGCTGATCCGGGGTCCTTCAGTGTTCATGACTGCGCTGGCCGTGGCACGGTCCTACCCTAACATGAGCAGAGCCTGAAGTTCTACAGCACCTCTGAGACTAAATGGGAACAGGCTGGCTACTCTGAGCTGTGAAGACCTCCCTTGAAGAGAGGGGTGCTTTCCTATTTCGCCAAGAGTTGGACAAGTCACCCTTCTTTCTTGGGCCACCCCTCTTATTACCCAAGGGCTTCTTTGCCCCTCTGGCCGAGACCCTCTCTACTTCAGGGTTTTTGGTTTGGTTTGGTTTTGTGCTACTGCCAGATGGCTTCTGAAGCAGTCAAGAAAAGTGGGTTATCCCAGCCTGGTCACTTACGTTGGTTTGTTTGACCCTACCATACCTCCAAACTTTGACATGTTGTGCACTGAGGCAGGAGTCACAGCCCAGGTTTAGGATCAGCAGAGAGAAAGCCTAAGACCCAGTAACCCCCAGTGATGGGCCAGTAGCTCAGTGAACAGGTCCAAGCGATGCTGCCTGGCCTTGACTTTGGCAACACCTCACCTGCACAGAGGCTCCATGATTGCCCTGGATGCTATTGCTGTTGGAATATACCTGGGCAGAGACTCCGGCTTCTCCAGACAGTGCCCAGATCAGCAAGCAAGGGACGCTTAACAGGATCACCAAACAGCAAAGCAAGCTAGACCCCTCCGCTCCCAATGGTGAGAGGAGAAGGTTCCGGGGACACTGGAACAAGAGTGGAAGGTGTCTGGGCTTCTGGAGAGGTAACCCCCATACAAAGCAGTCAGAAGCATCCATGCACCTACCAATAGGAATGGGTTTATTCATGACCGACTGGCCTTAATTCCAGAGCCCTAGGCTTCCTGTTTGTAGTGAGAAATGTAATGAATTAATTTTTCAACTTGTGGATCTTTTAAAAAATTTTTTACTACATCTTTAGATTAGCACATAAAGTAAGATTTCACCGTAAGACTTTAAGACACTGTCTTGTTTGTTCTCTTCCCTTCTCTCTTCTCCGCCACTTCCTCCCCGGATCCTTTCAGTTCACTTGTCTACCCTCCTCCCCCAAGTCTCAGGTATTCTCCTTACCCTCCAGCCTTCCCAGAAGACCTCATTTCCCTGCTCTAGATTGAAGACCTGTGCCCCCTAGATACACACACAGAGAAATTAAAATCTAGATGCACACATGAGCGATGATGTGCTATTTGTCTTTCTGGGTATGGATACCTACGTTAATTTCCAGTTCTGTTCATTTTGCTGAAAGTGTCATGAATCCATTCTTTTTTACAGCTGAATGACATTCCTTTGTGTATACGGACCACATTTCCCTTCTCCATTCATCCATTGATGGACAGCCAGGTTGCTTCCTCTTCCTAGCTGTTGTGAACAGTGAACTGGAAACATGGACGTACAAAATGTCTGTGTTGTGTTGACTTGGAACGGTATGGCTGGGTCATACTGTAGGTCTGTCTTAGGATTGTTGTTGTTTGTTTGTTTGTTTGTTTGTTTGTTTTGAAAATCTCCTGGGTTGGTTGGTCTTTGCCAACTTGACATAGACTAAAGTCACTTGGGAAGAGGGGACCTTAACTAGGACCATCCCTCCATCAGATCGCCTATAGGCATTTTCTTGACAGATGATGGAGGTGGGAGGAGCCAGCCCACTGTGGGTGGTACAACCCCTGGGAAGGCAGACCCAGGAGGTAAAAGGAAGCCAGAGAAGCCTCCTTAGCCTTTGCCTTATGTTCTGCCCTGACTTCCCTTACAGTGAACTGTGAACTAAACTAAAACAAACCCCTTCCTCCCTAAGATGCTTTTGGTCAAAGTGTTTATAACAGCAATGGAAAACACTTTCATAATAAATTTCATAGTGGATACAGAGTTTTTTAGTCTTAAACAAAGGTTATTTTTTTATTTTTATCTTTGGGAACTCAGAGCCTTACACGTCTAGACAGGTGAGCTACCACTGAGCCACATCGCCAGCCCCATGCGAAATCACGGGTACATGTATCTCATGGTCTTGCTTGGTGGTCAAGCAAATCCATTCCAGACGTGAGGACTATGAGGCCTTTGGGTGTCTGTGCCCCTAACATCTGCTGCAGTTGTGTGAGAGAGTCGAAGATGGAGCACAAGATGAGATCAGTGTCCCTGGGGGTCAGCAAGGGTCAAAAGAGGAACATCAGAACCTAGTGTGTGTGGGTGTGGGTGTCTTGTTAAGAGCTGTAATAGTGACCTCTGCTTGGGATTGGTTACCTGCCAGGGCAAAGCATGTCTAGTGGGAATCTCCGCATCCCACAGGGGGAAGGGAACTGTGCCCATAGATTTCCGCTCTCTGCTGTTTGATACGAGGTACCTAGCAACTGGGGAGTGTCAGTCTGGTTTCTGTTGTTATAACCAAATGCCTGAGACTGGAAAGCATCATCGCTGCATGCTTCCTTGGTCGCTGAGGCTGGTTTACGCTGTATATGACTGATGTCTCTGAAGGCTGGGATGCCCAAGAGCAGGATGCTGGCTTCCCTCCAGGGCCTTCTTCCTGCATCATAATGTAACTTGATGCAGGCAGCAGGTGTGCCAACTCAGACCTCTGCAATCTTCCTCTT